CTTCAGCAAGACAACTGCCCATCCTCTTTGCCATTACACGGGACACAATCTTGTACATGCTGCCAACTAAGGAAATTGGACTGAAATCGTCAGGGTAAATATCTTGTGCTTTTTTTGGAATAAGCGCAATGAAGGATTTATTAAAAGAAAGGTCTTATACTCTGACCCAGAAAAACTCCTCCATAAACTTCATAACTTCGCCTTTAATATGCTTCCAAAATCTCTTAAAGAAATCCAAATTGAAACTGTCCAGTCCTGGCGCTCTTGATCCATCGGACGACTTTATTATAAACCAAGCATCCTCTTCCGTAAAAACACTTTCAATGATCCTTCTGGTGGCAGCATTTATTCTCTTAAGGGGATATCAAATCTCTTCAAAGGAATTATTTTCACCTCGTTATATCCAGCACAAAAATAGTTCACAAACGCTTGTTGAATTCCCACCGGATTCCTGTAAATCGAATTTTGAACCTTCAGCTTAGTGATCTAATTTTTTCGACCCCTTGAAACGGCTGAGAGATGAAAAAATTTCGTATTTTTATCTCCCTCTTTAAACCACCTAAGCCAAGATTTTTGTAACCATTCACGTTCTTCCTTCCTCACAGAAACCCATAGTCTTGCCTTCAACGATGTAATCTCCGGCTGAATTTATATATTACTCCAATCTAACGACCATCTCTCTTCTAGCGAATCAATCTTTTTACCAATCTCTTCTGTAGAATCGGGGTTCAGCTCCCTGACTGCTCCTTCTCTATCCTTGGTTGTATTTTTTGCCAGAAGTAACATTTTTCCTAGACCTTCGCCTTTGTTATCTGCACATATATCTATGATTCTTTTGGCTAGAATATGATCATCCTCCCAATAATTAAACCATTTAAAAGGTCTAATAAACTTCATTGACCTCTTCTATTTCAAAACAATTGGTTTATGATTGGATAAACCCCTAGGCAGTGAACATTGCACCAATTGAGGACACATACTGAAAATATCAGTTGAAATAAAAAATCTATCGAGCTACTCGCTACCATATTCCCACTACCCCTAAACCATGTAAACAAACTACCCTGATTTGGCACCTCAATCAACTCGCAAGCAGAAATAAACTCTTCAAAAATTCTCGTCACAACCGATTGATCCTGACTCCCTAATCTTTCGAACTCCAACCTAACAGTATTAAAATCTCCCCCCCCCCACTATCATCAAAATGTTCCAATTAGAAATAATAGAATTCAATTGCTCGAAAAACTCTCTTCTATCTCCTTGCACATTCTGCCCATAAACGTTAATAATCCCTATCACCTTGTTATTCCCAACTAATCTCCTTTTAAGAGCTATCATTCTCCTATGTACTGTTATACAACTTACATCAAACAAGTCTCTATCCCATAATGAAATTAGCCCACCCGAAGCCCTTTCAGTAGGCACAACAGTCATTTCCTTATCGGACTTCCATTTTAATCTTCTTAGGAGAAAACCACTCAGCTCAGTGACCTTAGACTCATGTAGCATAACCAAATTGACATTACTCGATTCAATAACCCTATGTACATCTCTTATATTTTCAAATTTCCCTAACCCTCAGACATTCCAAGATAAAACTGATAAACTATGTTTCATAAAATTAAAAACACCCACATAATCAGACATAAACAATAATCAAATCCAAACTCGGCACTAACCCATTTGCTCAATTGATTCCAACCTTTGTAACGCATCCCTTCTCAACTCTGAGAACTCCACCCCCAAAGCTTCTACAACAGCTAAAGTCTCTTATGCTTCAATGTCTACGCTCTTCTTGCCACCAGAGTGATCCCCACCTATGGCTCCATTTTGATTCCAACTGCTACTAACGTTCTGCTTTTCATCCTGATCATTAAATCCCTACATTTTTCTTTTCGCATTGTTAAATCTCGTGGAAACTTTGAGGCTGACCCAATTCGCCCCCTATCGTACTTGACTTTGGTAAATTATCAGCACCTGAATTCAGTGGGTCTTTGATCCTCTTCAAAGAAATCCTATTTGTGATTGCTAGATTATCAACAGAATTAACCAAATCTATAACTTTGAGGGATGACACTTCATTTATTGGAACGTCTAAAAGCCTTGAGCTATTGGAAATGGTTTGGGTCACCCAAACTAATTCTGGTTCCCTATTGATTGCTATTAGCACAAAACGCTCGTCGTAAGCAGGCTGCTCAACTGGCCCATTATTGGAAGTGATAGGAACTTCGTGCAGCCCCTCTTTAGAAGCACCAATGCAATCCACAATGGCTTCTGTATGCATCGATCCACCTTCCAAAAAAGCATAATCATTATCGCACCTCTGACTATTCGACTCAACCTGCTCCAGCTCATTAATATCTCCCTCGAGACCAACACCTACAACAACCTCATCCTCAAAGATCAGAGAGTTTGTTTCTTCTTCGACATCAGCACACCACACTCCACCCCCCACCATGGTTCCATCGATGAAGGCTCTAGCCTCTTCCTGCACTTCGGTTTGAATTTTAATAGTATACAAACGTCCTTTGAAGATAATAGAGATTTTCTCTAGAATGGATTATTCAGACTGAACTTCCAACAACACTCTTGCAACATCAAACCTATCTCGATCAGTAGTTTCTTTATCAATCAAAAGGACTCTTCCCCACAAGCTTCCAATGTCCTTGAAAAGCTTCACACTCCAAATAGAAAGAGGAACATCCTTAAGAGAGAACCATACTTTAATTTTTGACTCTATTTTCATATCCCTCCATAAATTTCAACTTGTTAAACCATAAACGAATCCATCATCTCTTTTTGACCAATATGTCTGGCGATCGATTTCATTTTTGAATTGGATAATCATCAACAGATCATGCCAAATGCTGACCTTCACGTCCAAGCCTTCAGCTCTAAATGATGTTTGGATAATATTATCGTTATAACTATTTTTAATTTTACCAACCAAACTTCTTTATCTCCACGATAACACTTTCTTCAAGATTAGAAAAATCTTACTTCTGACACTAGGAATTGATGAAGAACTCGCTTCACTATCATCAAAAACATTTACATGCATAACTACATCAGAACCACTATAGTTTCCATCCTGCTGACCATCAATCTTCTCATATGGCTTCCCACCTTCTGTCTACGCACCTCCAAGAACTTCTTTGAATGGCCTAGCGTCCCTTAAAGTTGGCTTCCATACCTTTTTAAAACTTCTTTATGCATCTACCTTCTTACTTTGGCTTTCAGGCGTTTTGTCATGGAAAACTCTGATATTGAACACGTCCATCACCCTACCATCCGCTCTCCTAACCGTTGTATTTACTTCAGTTCTATTTCTGAACCTTACAAATGCAAATGTAGATCCAACAACTTGTCTTTTTCTACTCTTATACACAATGAACACATCCAATACATCACCATAGGCCTGAAAAGCTTCCTTAAGAGAGGAAACGTGAATCCTTTTGCTAACATTATTGACGAAACCTGTGAAGAAATGAGCAGATCTCCCCACTTCACCATTCCTGCCTGAAGCTCTAGCCCTGGAGCTCATGATGTTTCGGTTCCTTGATGATTATATATAGTATGTATAAATTATGGTATGCATGACTTGATTTGTTAAATTCGTTGATGTTTTAAGCATGATAATGATGTTAAAATGGTAACATCTTGATTTATGTTTCAACTCATAAAAGTAAGTTAAGTTGGAGTTTGAATGATGCTAACGTGATAGTTATAGATGATTTTAGATAAAAGTTCATTATATAGAAAGTAGATAAGTTTGATTGATAAATTTGATGAATTTAATATGATCATAACATGTTTGAATCTTATTTTGATGTTGATTAACTAAGTTGGGTATTGCATGATCATTAGTGGATGTTTTGAAGGGTTTAAGACAAGTTTAAACAAGAATTTTGACTATTTGATGCATTTAGTATCAATACTATCTAGGTGGTATCAATATCAAATTAATAAGTGATATTAATACTACTCAAGGGAATATCAATACTATAAGTAACTTTTAGAATCTAATGTATCATTTTGATATCGGTACTGATCTTAAGTATGGATACTACTTCAACAGTATCGATACTCACAACTTGGTGTCTATATCATCATCATGTATTGGAGATATAATGTGTCAATTTGGTACTAATATCGTCTAAAAGTATTAATAATGTTCATAATTAAAGATACCTAAAGTTTGATATTGATACCAATAACTTAAATCAGTTAAAAATGACCACAAGGTCCTTGTACTATGCCTGAATTGTATTATGACTTTCGTGTTTGTATAATGTATATTTAACTCCAAAATAGTGATTGAAAGTATGAATGACTGCAAAATATCTAATTTTGTTCAATTTTAAGTTAGGTTTTATTATGATTAATCAATGTGATATCGTCGATCCAAATCTCGATTATGTTGGATTTAAGGTATTACATCTATGATTTGTATTATTTTCATGTTAATTTGTTCACTGTTTTTTGGAAAGAGTTTTGGGATTGTGTTGTATGTTTTCAATTGGCATGTGATTTTTATTAATTCCATTGTGTTTTACTTTGCTTTTGGACCCTTATTGGCATGAGTACTCAATAAATTCATTTTACTCATAAAAATTTGAATTTTATCTAGAGTTAAAAATTTAAGATTTTTTATTAGTTGAGAGTAAATACAATGGAATATTTGTTCTAAAATAACTCTAACTCTTTGAGATTAAATGTTTATACTCGTGGCATTCATAATGTTCGAGCTCTAGATCTTAAAGCGTGATAACAATTCTTTTATTATCGATGTCGCTTAGTTCATACCTAAAACTTTAAGTTAGATGAGAATTTAAAACTTTTAAAGAAGAATATAAACTATATAAAAGAACTTAGTACGGTACGTATACTCGTACAATACTGAATTTAGCAATAGTAGAGGAAAATGATACAAGTTACGGTCTTGGATTAGCATTTATTTGTTCTTCTGTTTCCCCTGGACTTCCCATTTTCCTCTCAAAATTATATTCCACTTTCCTTTTGTTCTTTTCTAAGCAACCATGTCGACAACTTCAAACACCACCACGAAATCCTCCCTCGTCAACGACGACGAACTCCAAAAGGTCTTCGACCAGTTCGACGCCAACAAGGACGGCAATATCTCCGTATCTGAACTCCGCGACGTCTTGAAAGCAATGGGCTCCAGCTACTCGGAGGACGAGCTCAAACGTGTCTTGGAAGACATCGACACCGACAAAGACGGCCTCATCGATTTCTCCGAGTTCTCCACTCTCTGCCGCTCGTCTTCCGATGAGGTCACCGCCGCCTTGGAGATGCGCGACGCCTTCGATTTGTACGACCAGGACAAGGACGGCCTGATCTCGAATAAAGAGTTGCATCTTGTCCTGAATCGGCTGGGGATGAATAGTTCGGTCGATGATTGTGCTCGGATGATCAAGTCGGTCGATTCCGACGGCGATGGGAATGTCAATTTCGAGGAGTTTCAGAAGATGATGAGTGCTTCGTTGATGAATAACGACAAGGGATCTAAGCCGTAGGATTGAAAGAATTTTGACGGTGAATGATTGATTCCGAGGACTCGGGTCAAAGGTAAGGTTTAGTCCTTTATGTCTGTTTTATGACTTTATGCTTGTTTCCAAAAATAATTTCATCAACATATCCTATCAAACTACCGTTCTTGTGGCATCGAATCAAATGAAAAATTAGCTCGGTTACCATTAATACCAGATTTGTTTTTATTTCAATTTTCATCCTTTTTTAGATTTAAGATAAATAGCGTAAGGATGTAATCTAGTTCTGTGTAGCAGATAAATTTATTTCTCATTTACATAAATATCCCCTTCCTAACTTAGATTTGGATTCTAATTAAAAACTACAAATATCCAATTCATTGGCATCTTATATAATTCCATAATCTAAAATAAAAACATCATGCATTGCAAATCCTGTTGACTTTGTTAGTTTTTGCACCTTAACACACCTAATTTTATGCTTATGATCGTAGATTAATTAATATTGGCGATGTTTGAATGATGCATGCTTAAAACTGAATCGTGTTTGTCTTTGCTTCTTTCTTATATATAAAATATGATTATATAAAGGCTTAGTTTTGCTTAGTCACATGTTAGTAGATCTGGGATCACCGCAAAAACACAGCTTTCATAAATTATTTAATTTATAGATGCCAAAACCAAGTTATCTTGATCAAATGGATATCTAGATGTTTCGGGTTTGAGCACCAACATTTACATAATATTTGGACGTTCATTATCAAATGATTGACAGCCTTTAGAACAAATACTATTACTTATAATCATCTAGATTAATCACAAAATTTATATATTTATTGGCATAGAAAAACAATACGATTATGTTATAGACCAATAAAATACATTCACCATTTACTTGTTGATAATGTACATTTTCTGCGTATCACGCAACCGAATTAAGTATTCATTTTCAAAATGAAACTTCCGAATTCCAAGTGTCTGAGACATTTCTTTGAGGACTATATCAACTAATGTCATCTGTCCTGTCCATAATTTTACATATTTTTTTATTCTACCTATTCTAAGGTTTGATTTGACTTATTTAGATCGACTTGCAGTAATTTTTTTTTGCATACACAAATATTCAAACTTAAAATCTTACTTAAACAATATTAAGTTGCTTACCACTTGAATTAACTCTTATTAGTATACTTATACATTTTTTTACTATATACTTTGTGCACAAATTGTTAATGACCAGTTTAATAATGAAATGAGCTTATTTACATCTGATTTATCTATCCAGGTTTACCAATCATTTGTATGGTTAAGATTAAGATGTTAAATTCAAGAGAAGATAAGCAAACTCTTTTAGAAACTATATTGATCTTTCTGCTTTACATTGGTTTTTTTTAATCTATTTTTTTATTATTTTAGTTGAACCCTAAAGTAAAACGGTAAACCCTTTCTCCAGAATCGTCAAACTCCAGCAGTATCAAGTCAAAAGAGTAATGGGACCTAATCATATACATATATTATAGGGTAAATTATGAATTTAGTTACCCAACTATTATCCTGGTTTCGTTTTAGTTGTCAACTTTTTTTTTCAAAATAATATCTAAAGTTATGTCTTGATTTTATTCTGGTCACCACCGTTTTAAAAATTATATAACTGCTGATGCGATACATTTTTTATTTTTTTAATGATGACATGACATTGCATTATGTGACACGTCAACATCACGTTAATTTTTTAACAATAAGTGACCAAAATATAATGTTAGACATGATTTAAAAAAATAGTTGGGTGATCAAAACGGAACCGTGAGAATAATTGAGTGACTAAATACATAGTTTACCCTATATACTATGGGAACATCTCTCCCTACTCATTCGATTTTACCATAATTCTACTTGGGACTTAGCACAATAGTACGTGTGTTTTTGTTGCGTTCAGAAACAATTATGTTGTACCTTTGGACCAACTACTTCGTATACGATAAGTTGGCAATCATTCTTTTGTTTATCAAGGTTTTTGGAGAAATTCATCCGCTGATTGAAATCTTTAGAGTTTTATATTCTTTGATCAAACATAATTCATAGACAAGACTATTGGAAGGTTTGAGAGATCTGTCAGGTCAAATCTACTATCAAACAGTCATATATATATATATATATATTTAATCTGACAACCTACACAGTCTTAGGTCTGACATAAGCACCCACCAAGGGTAAGTATATAAATCTTCATGCAATATTAAGGAGAAGATCTTGAACTCTCTCTTTCTCCATGCCTAAAATTATTTATTTTCAACTCACCACTCTTCATAAAACAATCATATACGAATTTTAGCCCAAATCAAAAAAGGGAACCGTCCACCGCCGTCGTAACTCATATCTTACCATCAACAATTAGTGAGGTAATCATGTACCCACTTCTCGACCGAAAGAATTAGTCAAAATGAACCCGCAAAAGAAAAGCAATCAACCCAACTTTCCTTCTTCCCAAACTCATGTCAAGGTGCCAGGTTTTTTCATTCAACTGCACCCAACCGTGTACGATTGGGCCTACTATCAGGCTTACCAGGGTGCCTACGACCAGATCGATCAACAGTTTGTGTACTCTCACGAATAAAACACCATGCAAATTCAGAACTTGCAGAACGAGTTGTGAATTCTGTAACGTAGTTTCAAGCTTCCCAAGATACCCAATTGTAGTTGCAGCAATAAAATCAACAACGAAAAAAGTTGGTACAAAAAATTCTTCAAGAGCTTTTGATCTTCTAGTGCCATGGAAGTAGGCGTCGAGGAAAGGAGGAAGAAAGGGCCTCCAACACCAAGGAGAGGTGTCAAGAAGAGCATGTCACTACTCGCCTGAACACTGTGGATGAAAAGGTTCCCTCAACTTTACCATAGGGGGGCAACATTGAATATGTACCTCAGCATATCGACCCAAGGGAGCAGGAGTAGAGAAATCGGATAGCAATCATGCAAAGGCATATCGACAATCTTCGAACTGTAAGCAGCTCTAGAGGGGATTGTTCCATAGAGGAGAAGATTCCTCTCATGCCCTATACACCAGCTTCTTATCCCATGCACTTCAAGCTGCCCAAGGAGATCTGCGGCGAGACCAGATACCCCACTGAGTAACTGTGCAGTACAATAACTATATAGACATCATTGAGGCCTCTAACGAGATTAAATGCATGTTGTCGTACATCCCCAACCAACTCGCTGATAATTAAATGTTACTCTATAACACTTCAAATTTCGATACCAAAGCTGACCTGTTGATTTGGATTTTCTCGAGTAAATTCTTATTTTTAATAAATATTAAGTGATTTCGATGTTTGGAAAGTGATAGATAAATTTTTAAAGAAATCTCATTTCTGAATATGATACTAGATAAATTATGAAATATTTTATGTCTAGTGGTTTTCCTCTATTAATTATTATTTTATTTATTATTAAATGATTTATGTTTTTTGGACATATGTAATTGATTTTGTATGAAATGTGAAGCCTTATTTTGTGGGAGTATTTTAGGGTTTAGGGATTTGAAACCTTAAATCCATTAATCAGCCAAACTAGCTTATTTTGGATTCAGTAGAATAATGAACCGATGAGGGTGATCACTGGTTCAGTAGCCCAGCCAAACTTAAACCAAACCAAACCAGGCCATCAATCCAACCCAACCAGTGAACCGACCTCAACAGGGTGCCCCAAATAGTAGTACTGGCAAGCCTAGTAACAATAAACGCCTTTATCTAGTAACCACTACGATAGAGGTAGAAAGAACGAATGGTGATGAGGCCGTGTCCTCGTGAGCTTCACCTACAACCATGCAAGAAACCAATAACCCAAAAGCAAGAATAAACAAAGCAAATAAGAAGAAACCAATGAAGCTTGGGGGAGCTTCGATCACGACATTCTGGGCTACATTTTGGATATCCCAGTAGTGGAGATAATCTTAGGTTTTTCTTATTAGTATTATTACATTTTGGATATCCCAGTAGTGGAGATACTCTTAGGTTTTTCTTATTAGTTATTATAACCAAGAGTATTTGGTCATTTCACTAACCGGTTGTTTTCGGTCTTTCATTTAGGCTTAACACGTACACACTAATTTCATATGGTATTCTCTTATAGTCTTATGCTTTCATATGTATTTCGGATCACTATTAGTCATTAACTAAAATTAGGGGTAATTTAGTAATTTACGCTATTACTGCTCAAATAATTAATAAATTAATGGACTAAATTGCTCAAATCGAAGACAAACAAGGCCAAATAAGCATCTAAATAAATTAAATATGACCTACTCGAATTGCAATCCAAAAGGAGAAATACCAAAAAAGTAATTACCTCTATTTTAAGAAAAACACGTGGATCCTCTATAGTCGGGTCGTGTTACGCACTGGTCGTCTTAAAATGATATCGCTTTGCTCCAAGGAAATACCCCCAAATTCAGCATATTCCCCTAATTTCTTCGTTTCTCCATGTTTGGCATTCATTAGTTCTTCTATAGATTCTTAGACCACTTGTTGTCGTCACGTTTATCGGTCGATTACTAGTCATCGATGATCGTCGTCGTCACTAGTGATCACCAAGTAAAAAACAGAAAGGTCTGACCTTTTTAGTCTGTTGAGTCTGAATCTGAGATTCGATTCCTAAGATTTTTCGCCGATCGTCGCAAATCTAAGGAAAGAACCTTTCTTCAATCGAACTAAAAAGTACATATACTACTACAGTCAACCATCGGATAAAGTTTGAGTGATGAACTTATCTCTGTTCGTGAAATAAGTGAAGGAAGTATTATTAAGTCGGTGAATAAAAGTGCGGCAAAAGTGGTAAAAGTGATATAGTGAGATTAGAATGAGAAATTAGTACCCAAGTGATAAGATATATGCATAATTGAAATTTTAGCATAGTGATAAGTGATTCATGAGAATAAGTGTCGATCCAACTATCACACTCTAGTTAATATTGTGGATATAAAGTGAGGTTTTAGTTTCTCCTTTATTCGTGTCTTGAATGTTAGAGCGCACAGCGAAAATGGAATATTCCTATCAGCGTGATAATAAGAAATTGATTCATAAGATTTTGTGTGTGTGAACCGCACTCATCTAATCAAGCCATTATGGGAAAAAGTGAGTTTACTCCGTAAATCAACAACCTATTAAAGCAAGTTCAATATGTAACACCTTAATCCAATCTGATCTGACCCGAAGTTCAAAGGATCAAGATGTTACACA